TCTGGTATGAGCCATCTAAATAGGATGTTATGTTTGTTCAACTAAGTTGTGAAGCCAAAAATGGATATGGCATTCAGTTCTCAATAAATAATATTGTCTGGAATATGAGCCTTTTATTTACATGCATTAAAATAATGAAATGAGATAGACTGCTTCTGGGTAGAAATTCCATTTTTCCTACATGACCATTTTGTTTCTGACAAAGGAAAGAGTAGAAGTTATGAGAAAATAAGCAAAGATCATGGGAGACACAGTTATTTGTACAATAACATTCTGTGGAACAGAGCATATTCAGTCCTCACTAACTACTTGGAAAATATTCCTTCAGCTTTACTTTTTTTCTTATGACAAGTTCCTTAGTCCCCTTTGTTCTTATCTTTGTATAGAATACCTTATGTTCCTTTTTCAACTTCCTTTGGCTACATAATCCTCCATAAAACTCCATAATTACTCAGTACGTGTGCTCAACTGGCAGAGACAACTGAACAATACAGCAAACATTTGGCTAATACACAGTGGCCTATCTTAGCCAGTTATTGTATATAATCACATTGCTGTGCCTATTTTTCCTCAAAGGTTTGATGGGAGGTTCTAGAACTTACTTGCAAAAAGCCATGGTAGAAAAATTGTAGGTGCCTAAAGATGGAAGCAAACCAAGACTTATAATCTGCTTCATTAGCAATGAAGATACAATGAAATCAGAGAATCTTTGAATATATACTTTCAGCACAACATGAATTAAAATTGATCAGTTGAATCAGAGTATCTGCAGGGAAATATTTTTGAAAATTCGGTAATAAAACTGACAATATTTACTTATGCTAATAATAAATCATTTTCCGCATTTAGATGTCACAGCTGTTCTTACACCAACTATGATCCATCAAATTTTGTATTTACTCAATATATTCACTGACTGAACTGGTTGGCAAGTATTCAGAGTCTCAAATATTAAGAATGAGAAAAGCATCACAAGTTATAAACACACACCCCTAAACATTCTTTCTGTATATACTTTAAATTCAAAGAAATACAAAGAAACTCATTTGTCAGGGTACAGGAATAAAATAAAATCTTCACTATTGCAGCAACATTTCTGCATCCTGCCATAGGCGTTCAGCTCTCTTTGGGAAGCAGCTCTTTCAGTCAGAGAGAATTCTCTCAGCAGGTGGCAGCAGCTTGCAATCTTATCTGCTGGTTTCCCCAGTCTGGAGAAGCTGGCAGAAAAGGTTGCAAATAGTTAATCTCATGATCATGGGGTGCTTGGCAACTGGTTGTAAATGCAGCAGTTTGTCAAGCAACCAGAGTATAATCATGCAACTACAGAGGTAGTGTGCAACATTTTGTGATGGCTGAAAATGTTTTACTGACCATAAAGTACTCCTTCCAAGGCCTTTGTAATTCTAAACCATAATTAAATGTAGTTTTAAATTAACAACTATCTATACTTTATACACTTTTATTTATTATATTTAAGTTCTAATCTTATACTATCAGCACAATTAAAACCATGATGTACCATCAGCATGGAATGATGGCTCGACCACTATTGCTAAGTTTTTTAACAAAATACAGCCTGTTACACAAACTAAGGGCCAAAAGAATGAAAGAGAAAAAATAAATTAAATCTACCTGACCGTTATTGCTGATGATGAGCTCTTTCACTAAAGAGATGACGTTGGATACTCTCTAAACATACTGCAGAATATGTCATTGCTAACGCAACTTTCAATTTTCTCATGTTGGAACAAAGTCTACTCACGTCCCGGGCAGCCAAGCACCTATTATGGTTGCTGTGTCTGCACTTTCTTCTTTTTCATTCTTCTCTGACTTTCTCTTGTTCACCTGTTAAGGAACAAATGTCAGTCAGTAAGACATCAGTAAGAGAAGGCAATTAAAGTTTGTTTTTACATTCATTGGAGAATAAGGGGTCACAAGAGAATAAGCTGGAACAATTGGGAATACACATAAGAGAAATGCCCCACATGATATGTGGTATATCATCCTCACAGAGATCAGTTTGGCCTCAACAGTACAAGGTTGTACTGAGCATTATTAGATGTGATTATTTCAATTATAAATTTTGTGAACTGTTTATGATGAAGTCTTAGATGCTTTTGTATCATTTTTATTGATTTAAACTGTTGCATTGTCCAGTTGTCACTTGCTTTAATTGTCTAAGCCATTGAAACAATTGATAACAGAGACCAGTCAGCAATAAAGACAACCAAGGGAGAAGGAATTGGTTGGGTATGGAATTAAGACCAGAAAAAAGTTAAAACAGATCTGAAGCTAGAGTAGAAGATTGTAAATTATACAAAAATATAGGATATGAGAGAACTAACCTCTAAGAAGAATAAAATATGTCAGAATAAAGGTTAATATGGAAAACAGAATAGCGTTTAGAAAATTATGAACAGCTAATAGTAGACACAAGATAAACATACCAACTATATATTGGAGAGTGATAACTTTTTTGGTAAGTTTCCCAATAAGAATCAATGTTTGTGAATCTTGCTTCAATCTACAATCCCTACTACTACTACTACTACTACTACTACTACTACTACTACTACTACT